ATTTAATGCATTAAAGAATGAATAAAATGGAAACAAATTATTAGGTTGAATACCAGACCATGCAGTTTCAAGACATTTTTTTTTTTTCAATAGTGAAAATATTTCATCATATATTGTATCTACAATTTGTCCAGTGCCAAAGACTGAATCGTAATATTGTTTTCAAATTGTCAAAGAATATTATTTAAAAGGGGCATTATAGCTGTGTTTTTTTTTAAATTTGCTTTTTTTTAAACTAATAAAACGGAGCAAAATAAATAAAATTTAAAAGTAACATATTAGAATATTCATGCTACATATATACAAACAAATTAATAATAATTTTCCATGAGTAATCACATATAATCAATATTTGTTTACTCATTTGTTACCACAAAAAAAATTACATTGTGACAAAAAGCAAAGCTCATGGCAGGCAATTTCAACAGTATTATAACGTCACTATAAAAATCATAATGTAACGTATCCTTTACTGTACAGCATTTCAATGTAAAGGACGGTAATCCTTGTGCCACGCATGCACGAGATATGGGTCTCATATAAACAAAGATGGCGATTTTGACTGTTGCTCACACGCATGTTTATCAAAACAAATGTCGTACATGCACGGTGTCAAGACTACTGCCCTTTATCCCAAATTAAAAGTTTAGACTTCAGAGCATGCCCCTATGCATTATGGGGGGAAAAACTGGTACCGGTAGTAGAATTGGCCTAGGAACCTAAGTTTTGCAGCTGCAGCGGTCTGGGAGATAGGTTTTGTAGAACGATTGACTTGCATAGGCCCCTACAATGTATGTTTGATTATGTATGTTTGGAATGGCCTGATGTCCTAGTTGTGGTATGCCCTCAGACCTTTATTTATAAGATTGGCCTCATCACCTGAGTTTGTCACTAAACCTAGGTTTGTCAGCTGCATTGGCTTGGGAACTTGGTATGGCAGCTTTATGATTGGCCTTAGGTCAAAGGTTTTGTGGCCGAAGGTGCCTGGAGACCTACGTTTAGCTGTATGATTTTTCTGGGTACCTAGTTTTGACAGCTGTTCTGTGGGACCCAGGTTTGACAGTTGTTCTGTGGGACCCATTTATGGCAGCTGTTCTGTGGGACCCAGGTTTGACAGCTGTTCTGTGGGACCCAGGTTTGGCAGCTGTTCTGTGGGACCCAGGTATGGCAGCTGTTCTGTGGACCCAGGTTTGACAGCTGTTCTGTGGGACCCAGGTATGGCAGCTGTTCTGTGGGACCCAGGTATGGCAGCTGTTCTGTGGGACCCAGGTATGGCAGCTGTTCTGTGGGACCCAGGTTTGACAGCTGTTCTGTGGGACCCAGGTATGGCAGCTGTTCTGTGGGACCCAGGTTTGACAGCTGTTCTGTGGGACCCAGGTATGGCAGCTGTTCTGTGGGACCCAGGTTTGACAGCTGTTCTGTGGGACCCAGGTATGGCAGCTGTTCTGTGGGACCCAGGTTTGACAGCTGTTCTGTGGGACCCATGTATGGCAGCTGTTCTGTAGGACCCAGGTTTGACAGCTGTTCTGTGGGACCCAGGTATGGCAGCTGTTCTGTGGGACCCAGGTATGGCAGCTGTTCTGTAGGACCCAGGTTTGACAGCTGTTCTGTAGGACCCAGGTTTGACAGCTGTTCTGTGGGACCCAGGTATGGCAGCTGTTCTGTAGGACCCAGGTTTGACAGCTGCATTTGCATTATAAGCTAGGTTTGTTCTGCTGGATTGTGTTTTTGTGCTCACTCTGCTGGATTATCCCTTGAACTTCAATGACCTGGGAACAAAAGTTTGTCAGCTTGATTGGTTTGAAAACTCTGGTTTGTCAGCTGGACTGACATTGGTACCTATGTTTGGCAGCCTGATTGGCCTAGAGATCTGAGTTTGGTAGCTCCATTGGCCTGGCAACCAAGGTTTGGCTGCTGAATTGGCTTGAGTCTTAATTTGACATCTAGATTGGCAAAGGACCTAGGTTTGTCAGCCGGATTGTGACTGGGACCTAGGTATGACAGCTGAACGATCAGAGTTCCAGGTATTTCCTGGCCTTGGGCACAAATTACAGCAGCTTGATTGGCCTGGGACCTATGTAGAGTGTGCAGCAGGATTGGCACATCTCAAAACACTGATTTTCTCAATGTAGTAGATGTTCATCCGCACCACTGATCATATTTTCACTCTAAAAACAATTGTACATAAGTATCTAAAGCAAAATGGAAGCCCTATGCCCTATGCTTTTTAACATCTATATTAATGACTTAAATGATGTATTACATGATATAGTTCAATAGACCATGTTTCACTAAATGACACTAAATCTAGCTCACTCTTCTATGCAGATGACCTAGTTTTACTTTCTACAACAAACACTGGTCTTCAAAAAGCATT